CTCTCTCTCTCTCACACACACACACACACACAGACGAGAACAGACAAAATATAAGTTGAAGATCTGAGAAGAAATGAATAGGAATATACATCCGCCTTTCATAGGGTGCAAGTGGGCTGTTATGGCACACAGGGATGTGGGCAGCTCGCGCTTAACCGGCGCACCTTGCGCATGAGAGGCACGGTAAAGGGGGAGCTGCAAGAACAAATGAAAGGGGTTTTTACCCCGAAGAAAGAAAATGTGAACACATTCAAGAAAAGCGTTTACGTTCTTCTATTGTACTTCCATGTTGCTTGCTATTGAGGTGAAAACCGTGAAACTGTTTCATTGTTGGGTTGTCTGAACTCACGGGCTTTCGCTGTCTGTAATAGGATTAAATATAAATAATAAATATGCTTTGACTTTGGATCTGTTCATGTGGGTGGAATAGGGGCTGTTGTGGTAATATTCAAAACGCACACCCATACGGACACTTGGTGCTGAAACACACAAACGTGGCCAACCTTGCGTTTTTCACTATCGTGCCTATCTATGCTTTCTTTGTTTTATGGATGGTTTACGATGATGCACGGATTGAATGAGAGCGAAAATAACACACTCCCATATCCACATATCCACACACGCACACATATGCACAAATGAGTTAAGTCTGGGTGATGTGGCGAGTCCTTAATACTCCTTATCCCTCAGTCAAACTCATCCTGGGCAGACTGTTGGGGTTCAACTTGCTGATAAGTTAAAGAACGACGAAACAGTCTGGTAGTCTTTTTTTTTTTGGGTGGAGTTGGGTCAAGCAAACATGACCACACACAGACAATACCCATGCGAACGCACAGACACACACTCTTCCTTTCTTGCTTGCTCCCCTGTGCAGCAATGTTTGCCACTATGGACATGTTCTAAAGGATTGCTGTGTGATAACACTTATGGGAGTGTGGACGATCATCTGAGTACCAACTGTAAACAGATACAATAAGCTGTAGAGACTCTAGAGAGTGTCTAAATTCACACTCACTCCAGGTGTGCGAGAAAGAAGAAAACTTAAGCTAAACTCCCATCTTAAGTGTAGCGTAGTGGAAAATCCCCAGCACCACCGTCCCACACGAGTAAGTACCAAGACAAGGTAGTACAACATGTTATTGCGAGGTTAATCTGATGGTAATGGGGAAGAGTTATAAAAGCTGCTGGAATTCCGCTTATTTAGATGGGAAAATCAATTGGAGCAAATTATTTTAACTTGGATTGGAGAGTAAGAACAATCCCGGAGACAATCAGTGGTGGCAGGAGTAGTCAAATGATGGCCTTGCACTGTGGAGAGCTTTCAAACAGAATTAATATGAATGGTTTGGACAGTTCGGATATGGTGGAACTGCATGCTTGCATGTTTTGAGCACAACTACACGTACGTGTGTGCGCGCGCGTGTGTGTGTGTGTGTGTGTGTGTGTGTGTGTGTGTGTGTGTGTGTGGATTTGTGTTCGTCAAATCTTGGGGCATCATGGAGGTGCACGAGTTCGTGTGTGTTAGAGGTGTGAATTAGGGTGTGCATGTTTTGCACACAACTACGTGTGTGTGTGTTATGTTTCTATTACGTGGCTTCTGCGACCATGTCACAGCATGTTGCGTCGGAAGGTGTGCATATAAACAACATCGAGAAAGAGCCCGCAGCCCAGGATGCCCATAGAAAAGAATGCTTATAAATCCCAGGTTTCAAAAGTCAAGAAACGAAAAACGAGCTACCCAGCAGTAAGACAAGTACAACAAGACAAACAAAACGGCAAGGGTGAGGTCGAAACACAACACAGTACTTGGATGACACAACACAGCAAAGAACAAAGGGTGGAGGGCAAGGGGGAGGCGGGCAGGCAAATTCCCAAACTAATCCGCTCTGGACTACAAGCTTTTCATATGCCACACGGAGAGATTGAAGAGGCGACCATAGGCGCCGCCAGGCGGCGGCCCTTCGGCCTTAGTCCCCTACTATCAAATATATACCTTAATGAACTCGACCACTTTATAGAAACAACTATCCGTGAATATAACAAGGCTCGAAGAGCAGACGCTTCGCGTCTGAATCCCACGCATTCAAACAGCACTAGGCAGAAGAATGAGGCGGCCGCAGCAAGGCAACAAGGCAGACAAAAGAACAAACAGCAAAAAAAACAAAGCGAAAAAAGACTGCAACTGGTTAAGTATACATTATTCCACGAGTGATGAGTTAACCCGGCCGGTGTATCCATATGCCGGAAAAATACGTTTTACTGTCTGAAAAAAAAAAAAAAAAAAAAAAAAAAAAAAAAA